GGGGGGGGTGGAAATCATCATCTGACATGGCTCACAACTCAAATCGAGTCAACTCGTGGTGTTTTTCCCCCTTTTGTGGCATGAGAAACAGGCAACGTCATGGGGCGAACCTGAGGCCTATTGTGGGGCTGGCCATTGTTGGCTCGATGAAAGGCGCATTCAAGTCACTTTTCTTATTGAATTGTTTTGCGTCTGCTTTTCAACGTGGCATTCTCTCCACAGCCCTGCGCGAGACAATCAGTGGGGATGAAACTCCTTTCTACCATTCTTCCCAGCCCAGATGAGCGATATTAAGGAGATGAATAGTGTGCATGTGTGTGTCTGTGTGTGTGTGGGTTTTTTTTAGAGGAAAAGCAGTGCCCCAGCTTTTGTCCAATACATGAGCATAAAGGGGCTTAGAGAGAGGAGAGAGGGTCCTGTAGCTTTCCTGATGGTGTGTGTGCATGTGTGCGTGCGTGTGTGTGTGCGTGAGTGTGTGTTATTGGCCTCCCAGCGTTGCATTAAGTTAAGGACAAAGGCCTGAGGTTCATGAATCAGCCAGGGCTTCCATAGCTTAGCCATTGTGACCTACCCACCATATGACTGCCCTACAGTACAGTGTGTTTGTACCTTGCAATCAGGAAGTTATTATTTGCATATTTCTTTACATTAGAAATGTATTTCTGCATTACCTGTGAGTCATTCATTTGAATATGTCTGTGTGTGTGTGTGTTTGTTTGACTGTCCCACATAAAGGCCTCCTGTCCCCGACTCCCAAATGTTAGACAGGCCCCAGTGTTTTGGCATCCACCCTTTGACTCCCATTCAGCGCCATGTCCCATGACCAAATCAGTGGAATCCATGATTTATCTATTCAGCTTTCTCATAAACTCTCTTCATTTGCACGCCCTGTTGTTGTTTTTCTTCTATTTCTGTGATTTTTCCTTTCTTGGTCTTCTCTCCCATTCCCATGGAGAGACCGAGGAATGTTTTTATGCTGCAAAATGGCTGCGAGATGAATGAGTTTTGTGTGAAGTGCGCTGACTTTTGTCCCTCAATTACTTTATCAAAAGGATATGAATCGCGGCTGAACAATCTTAAAACTTTTCTCTGAGAAATATTGTGGAGAGGAATTGCCTCTTGGAGGTTTATCCGTTTTTCAAAAGGCCAGACGACTGTAGCCTCAAGCACTTTCACTTAATAAGGAGAATTGTCAAGTTAGTCGATAACTTCCATTAGAGTTCACTGACAAACCAGCAGTTACTTTGTGAGTAGGTGGATGCTGCATTTTGGAATTAAACGTATTTTGACATTGTGCCACAGAAAAATATGAAAAGCTATCACTTCCAAAACATCTGAAGAACATCCAAATATTATGTGTGAAGAACTTCAAAGTTCACTTTAAATAAAGCTCTAAATACTGTAGGTGGAAGTTCTCATCATTTATGCCTTACAGTACGGGACTTTTTATCACAGGTTAAATTAAAACAATTGGTAACGCTTTAT